TTCCCATTACTCAGGCTCTCCAAACAAATCCTGTTTGACAGGATGAAGTGTGGTCTCACTCTAAAATCTCAAATAAAGCCAATTTAAGGTCTTTACATTTATTATCATTTGTTCGGGGACACTGCATTCCTTTTAGTGCATTCATTCCTTCATTTTTAATTAGTGTTGTGTGTATGTGTGTGTATATGATGTGTGTGTGTATATGATGTGTGTGTGTGTGTGTGTGTGTGTGTGTGTGTGTGTGTGTGTGTTGCCAGGGTCGGGGTGGACATGCTCTGGGATGTGTGTGGAGGTCAGAGGACAACTTTGTGGAGTCAATTCTCTCCTTCCACCTTTCTGTGGCTGTGGAATCTTGAGCTCAGGTCACCAAGCTTCCACAGCCAATGTCTTTACCCACCGAGCCATCCTACCTGCTCCTATAATTTATTTTTGTTTGGTTATTAAGACAGAGTCTTGCTGTGTGGGCTGGCTTCCAACTCACGATCCTCTTGCCTCAGCATCTCCAGGGCTGGTGTTACAGGCATGCACCACATATCTGGCTTTTCTGTCTTTTTCTTCCTTTTTTCTTTTTCTTTTGTGTTTGAGACAGGGTTTCTCTGTGTAACAACCCTGGCTTCCCTGGAACTCACTTTGTCAACCAGGCTGGCCTTGAACTCACAGAGCTTCTCCTGCCTCTGCCTCCTGAGTGCTGGGATTAAAGGCGTGTGCCACCACCGCCCAGCAACGATGGCAACTCTTATAAAGGAAAACATTTAACTGGGACTGGCCTACAGTTCAGAGGTTTAGTCCATTGTCATCATGGTGGGCAGCATGAGGGCACACAGGCAGAAACAGTGCTGGAGAAGGAACTGAGAGTTCTACATACTACAGGCAGCAGGAAGTGAATGCCACTAGACCTTGCTTGAGCTTCGGAGACCTCAAAGCCCACCCACTAATGACACACTTCCTCCGACAAAGCCACACCTACTCCAACAAGGCCACACCTCCTAATAGTGTCACTCCCTATGAGCCTATGGGGACCATTTTTATGCAAACCACCACACCAACCAAATCCAGGGTGAAATAATGAAAAGTCAGGACAATGATTTCCAAATTGAAAGATAAGGCCCATTGGTGACTCATTTAATTATATTAGTGGGTTGCAATCAGCATCTCTAAATGGAAAATAGTGTAATATATGTAGCAAGGGTAAGTATGATATAGTTGTTTCATTTCATTTATGTGTGTGTAGATAGGGTGTTTATATGTGGTGTATTTGTGTGTTTTGAGCCACACCTGTCTGGCTGGGTCATAAGACCCAACAATGGTTTAAATGCCACTGGCTCTGAGAGCAGGTGAGGAGATAATGGATGGGAATGTCAGATCACTGGAAAGATCCTTTTTGGGAGAAAGGACAGGTCTTATGATTTGCCAGGGCTTCGTACATGCTAAACCCATGCTCCATCCCCTAGAATGGAGCTACATGCTAGGCTACATCCCCCAGAACTCACTGGAAGGATTTTTTTTTTGTTTTGTTTTGTTTTGTTTTGTTTTTCGAGACAGGGTTTCTCTGTGTAGCTTTGCGCCTTTCCTGTTGGAGACCAGGCTGGCCTCGAACTCACAGAGATCCGCCTGGCTCTGCCTCCCGAGTGCTGGGATTAAAGGCGTGCGCCACCACCGCCCGGCTTGGAAGGATTTTATTATGAACCTTGAACTCTCTAAGACTAGATAAGATATGGTGCTGGAGAGAAAAGTATTTTTCCAGGATCAAAACTCTCTAAGAGTTGGACATGATGGAGCATATCTATAGTCTTAGTACCCTGGAGGTAGAGGTTGGAGATTACCTCAAATCTGAGGCCAGCCTGGTCTATACAGGGAGATCCAACCAGCCAGGATGATATAACAAAACCCTGTCTCAGAAAAATATAAAAAGCAAGGGATAGCGGAGGTGGCTCAGACAATAAAGGGCTTGCTGGGCAAACGTGAAGACCTGACTTCCGGTCTCCAGCACCGCTTCAAAACCCTGGGTGTGGCGACGTGTGTCTCTCACCCCAGAGCTGGCCAATTAAAACCAGCTGGGGCCTGGAGCTCACTGGCCAGGCAGGCTAGCCATTTCTGGTGAGCGCCAGATTCAGTGAGAGACCTTGTCTCAAAGAATAAGGTGGAGAGTGACTGGGGAAGACATCCAGCGTTGACCTTTGATGTCCACACTCAGGGGTACACATCCACAAGGCCATGCACATGAACACACATACGATACACACAGAGAAACATAAGAAAACAAAAATAACCCGTAAGACATGTCACAGGAGCGGGGAGAGAATTACTTCAAGGTGCCCCTAGTACTTGCTCGGAGGCTGACTTTCAGCCGTTGTGTCTTTTACATCTGAGCCTGCTGCTGGCTCTCTGCTCCTCGCCCATTGTAACCTGCGTTTGTAGTCATCACACCACGATTACCTTAACCAAGACGATTACAGTTCACCTCCAACCTCCTGAGGCCAGCCTCATGCTACATTCCTGG